TTTTTTTTTTTTTTTTTTAGACAGGGTCTTGCTTTGTTGGACAGGCTGGAGTGCAGTGGCCTGATCACAACTCACTGCAGCCTGGACCTCCTGGGCTCAATCGATCTTCCCACCTCAGCTGCTATAGTAACAGGCTCACCCTACCACACGCATATTCAGAAAGTTTCACCTTGTTTCCCAGACTGATCTGGAACTTCTGAGCGATCTGTCCACCTCGGCCTCTCAAAGTGCTGGGATTAGTGGCATGAGCCACTACACCCCTAACTTTTTTTTTTTTTTTTTTTGTTTGTTTTTTGAGACAGAGATCTTGCTCTGTCGCTGAAGCTGGAGTGCAGTGGCACGGTCTCGCTCTGCCGCCTCCTGGGTTCGAGCATTCTCCTGCCTCGCCTCCTGAGTAGCTGGGACTACAGGCGCCCTGACCCACGCCTGGCTAAGTTTTTTTTTGTTTTTTTTTAGTAGAGACGGGGTTTCACTGTGTTAGCCAGGATGGTCTCATCTCCTGACCTCGTGATCTGCCTGCCTCGGCCTCCCAAAGTGCTGGGATTACAGGCATGAGCCACCGCGCTGCCCAATTTCTTTAAAAACTGTTTTTGTAGAGATGGAGTCTCACTATGTTGCCCAGGCTGGTCTTGAACTCCTAGGCTAAATGATCCATCCCCGAAGAAGTACTTTGGGATGACAGGCTTGAAGCCACACACAGGCCCTTTGGTTTAGGATTTGTGTTAGACTGGACCACCTGGGAGAAGGAGGTCGCTTGCCTTATTTGGGGTGGGGTTGGGCCTGTGCTAGGCACCTGTTGGTGTGATTGGGTCTTCAAAATGACCAGACACCCCACCCAAGGAGCTGTCCTCAGGGGACTGGTCTCCTGGAGTACAAAGAGCCAGGCAGGAAGCGTACAAGATGAGTTGTGGGGGGGCCTTTCCCTGACCCACCAGGGCACAGCCGGTCTGTCACTTCAGGCAGTCCCAGGCGTGTGGTTGAAGCCTGGGGGAGCTGGGCAGAGACCTGCATCATTGTTGAATAGTGAGAGAGGCAGGTTTGGCTTTAGAACTGGAAAACTCTTCTATGTGGAAAACAAACATCAGAGGAAAAATGGTCAGAGAAAGGGATGTCCGCTGCTTGAGCAGGTCCTCTCTCTGCGGCTCTGTGGGGCTTGTGCTGTGGAAGGTGTTAGCCTTGAGGCCTTTGGTCCTGAGGAACACTCCTGGAGTCGGATCCTCACTTTCAGGCTGGAACTGGGTCCTGGGGGAGTGCCTCCATTGTGCAAATAGGAGGTAACAGCTGTGGAAATAAACAGATTGCCTTTCAGAACAAAGGTCATTTTATTCAGGGCTTGCTGTACAAGGGTGGCATCCCTCTCTTTGTGTTGACCGAGAGATTGATTCCTCAGCAGCAGGCGGAGGCAGGGCCAGGAGAAAAGCCTGGGCGGAAGAGGAGGCTCAGGTGCACCTAAGGGAAGCTATGGCCTGGGGCCGGAAGAGGGGCTCACTAGGAGTGTAACCACAACAGGTCTTGCCCAGGAGTCGCGGGAAGTGCCCTTTGCCACCCAGGGTTTGCAGCAGACAGTTTGAGCCACAAGGCTGTAACTGAGGAGGAGACCTCAAATCCACCTCCCTGAGGAGTATGGGGCCAAGGGACTTGTAGGAGGTTTGGAGGTGGAGGCTGAGGCGGGAGGCGCCTTGCTGATGGAGTAGAGCGTGCAGGGTGAAAGTCATGGGGTGGGAGTTGAAAGAAGCATGTGTTTTCCATGCTGAAAGTTCACTTCTTCTGTGGGGCTCTTCAAGCTGGTTGGCCTGGAATTAAGGATCTGAAACATCTTAAGGCGTTCTTAAACAAAAGAACAAAAGTCTCATGATTCTGATCCAGAATTCCATCTGTGTAGGAACAGTGGGAGTGCAGATGGTCACTAGTCTCGTGATTCTCAGAAGGAAGTGGGCTAAAGTGTAGCCCTGACGAACACTCGGTCAGCTCCTTCTCTCCCTGCCTCCCCCTCCTCTGCCTCCCCACCTCCTTCCCTCTCTCCTGCTTCCCCCCTCCTTCCCTCTCTTCCTGCCTCCCACCTCCTTCCCACCCTCTCCTGCCTCCCCTCCTTCCCTCTCTCTGCCTCCCCTCCCCTTCCCTCCCCTGCTTCCTCCTTCCCCTCTCCTGCCTCCCCTCCTCCTTCCCTCTCTCCCTGCCTCCCGCCTTCCCTCTCCCTGCCTCCCCACTCCCTCTCTCCCTGCCTCCTCCTTCCTCTATCCCTGCCTCCCCCTGTCTCCTGCCTCCCCCTCCTTCCCCCTCTCTCCCTGCCTCCCCTCAGCCCTCTCTCCTGCCTCCCCCTCCCCTTCCTTCTCTCCCTGCCTCCCCCTCCTTCCCTCTCTCCCTGCCCCTCCTTCCACCCTCTCTCCTGCCTCCCTCTCCTTCCCACTCTCTCCCCTCCCCACTCCTTCCCTCTCTCCCTGCCTCTCCCCACTTCTTCCCTCTCTCCCTGCCTCCTCCTTCCCTCTCTCCTGCCTCCTCCTTCCCTCTCTCCTGCCTCCCCTCCTTCCCTCTCTCCCTGCTTCCCACTCCCTCTCCTGCCTCCCCACTTCTTCCCTCTCCCTGCCTCCCCCCTCCTTCCCTCTCTCCCTGCCTCCCCCTCCTTCCCTCTCTCCCTGCCACTCCCTGCCTTCCCTCTCTCCTTGCCTCCCCTCCTTCCCTCTCTCCCTGCCTCCCCCCCCCCCCTTCCCTCTCTCCCTGCCTCCCCCTCCTTCCCTCTCTCCCTGCTTCTCCCTTCCTTCCCTCTCTCCCTGCCTCCCCCTCTCTCTCTTTCTCTCTCTGTGTTTCTTTCTTTCTTCCTTTCTTCCTTTCTTTTTCTCTCTCTTTCTTTCTTTCCTTTTTCTTTCCTACTTTCTTTCCTTTTCTTTCTTTTCTTTCTTTTCTTTCTTTTCTTTCTTTCTTTTTCTTTCTTTTCTTTCTTTCTTTCTTTTCTTTTCTTTCTTTCTTTTCTTTCTTCGTCGCTCTGTCATCCAGGCTGCAGGTGCAGTGGCGTGATCTTAACTCACTGCTGTGACATTGCCTCCCGTGTACCCAGCAATTCTCCTGCCTCAGCCTCCCAAGTAGCTGGGATTACAGGTGCGTGCCACCATGCCCAGGTAATTTTTGTATAGAGACGGGGTTTCACTATGTTGGCCAGGCTGGTCTTGAACTCCTGACCTCAGGTGATCCACCACATCTCATTTGAGTTTCGAAGTGTTGGGATTACAGGCATGAGCCACACCACACCCAGCCTATAACTCTGTTTCTGCTGAATGCTCAGTTATAACTCTGTCCAGAACCTGGGCTGGCCGTGAAACCTGTGGCCCTCCCAGAAGCAGCTCAGTGCAAGAGGACAGCTTCCCATGATTTCATCTCTGACCCACTCGGCCAACAGCAAGCACCCACTGCCTAGCCACCCCAACCCCTTCCTTCCCCCAAACTACCTGAAAAACCCTAACCCTCAGGCCTGCGATGAGATTGATTTGAGTAATCCTCCCTCCCTTGTGTGGCATGTGGCCAGCCTCACATCAGTTCACTTTTCTTTTTTCTGAGAGTTGAAGTCTCCCTCTGTCTCCCAGGCTAGAGTGCAGTGGCGCAATCTTGGCTCACTGCAACCTTTGCCTCCCAGGTTCAAGCGATTCTCCTCTTCCAGTCTCCCGAGTAGCTGGGATTACAGGCATGCATCACCACGCCCAGCTAATTTTTTGTATTTTTAGTAAGAGGCGAGGGTTTCACCGTGTTGGTCAGGCTGGTCTCAAACTCCTGACCTCAGGTAGTGGGAGCCCCTCGGCCTCCCAGTGCTGGGATTACAGGCGAGTGCTTTCTTTACTGCAATGCCATGCCCGCCTTTGTACAGCAGGCTGGAAAAACCTGTTGGGCAAAGTTCCACCTCGGCCTCCCAAAGTGCTGGATTACGGGGCATGAGCCATCACGCCCGACCATACTGACTTTTACCTCCCATTCTTTGATGCCAGAGTTTTCATTTTTACTTTTTATTATTTTTTTTATTTTTTTTTATTTTTTATTTTTTTATTTTTTTTTTTTGAGGCAGGAGTCTTACTCTGTTGCCCAGGCTGGAGTGCAGTGGCGGGATCTCTG